CCTTCGTCACTCTGTGGCACCCGGGATCAATTCATACAATACCATACGTGAATGAATTTTTGTTAGAATTACATAAAGGTACAGCCATGTCTATCTCGCTCGTTATTGCATGCTCAGGGACAAGAACAGTGCCTGGCACATAATAGGTGCTCAATAAATATTTGCTGTGTTCATTAATCTCGGTGACTTCATGAAAGAGAATTCATGAAGAGAAATCTGCTGGGTAACACTGCCACCTGCTGGTCACTCTCCGCACTGCAGGTGCTACAGGATTTTCCTTCTCTGGGGGTTTCAAGAGGAAGCATCCTGCAGCCCAGAGGGAGGGAGAGAAGGAGGAGACGCCCTGCCCCTGTGCTGGTCCCTCAGCAGAGATGTCACCACACTGGATCGCCATGATAACTGCTCACTCTTCTCCATTAGACTGAGTTCTGGGATAACAGAAATCTTCCTTCTCCGACTCCCCACTCTCCACCCAGCTCCCAGTTCAGATCTGGCACATAGTAGGTTGCAGAGTCATAGTAGGACTAAGAAAGAAGCCCAAACTGCCAATCCCTGACTTCAGATATTTATGCACTTGATAGTGTCGTGCAGGGACTCTAACTCCTTGACACTGTGGTGCATACTGCCCCCAGTGTGTGTGCCTAGACACACAACCAAGGTCTGACTCTGGGCCATGGACACTGGATTCCAAGCACGTTTACTTTAGAACCCTCCTTGAATTGAGTTCATGCAAGATCATCCAAGACACACTGATTGGAGCCGGGCACAGTGGCCCACACCTACCATCCCAGCAGCTCGAGAGGCTGAGGCAGGAGGATTGCAAGTTTGAGGCCAGCCTCAGCAACTTAACAAAGCCCTATGCAACTTAGTGAGACCCTCTCTCAAAATAAAAAATAAAAAGGACCGGGATGGGGCTCAGTGGTTAAGTGTCTCTGGTTCAACACCTTGTACCAAAAAGAAAAAAAAAAAAAACATTGATGGGGCACCTACTGTATGCCAGGCTGCTGAAGACGCAGCAGTGAGCCCAGCTGGTCTGGGGCTCGGGGATTTTCTCAGAGGATTTGTAGAGGAATCTTTAGAACAGGAGCTCTGGCCCCATCCTGCCGTCATTCAGTATAAAAGGACACAACCCACCTGCTTATGAAATGGCCTATCAGGACTCTATGTGAGGCCATAAGAAAACTTTTTTCCCGTCCCACAACCCATGGCCCAGGCACACTCTGCAGGGCTGGTGACCCCTTGCCAGTCCCTGCAGGCCCAGGAGTCTTATCCAAAGAGGCTCTGCAATATCCTGACCCTCACTCGCCTCCCCTCACTTAGTCACTCCCCTCAGCTAAGCCAGGGGTCTCCTGCCGACACCGGGGTCTCCTGAGTCCGGCCAACAGCACATGCCTTTTGCTTTTTTAATCAAATTGTTTACACATTGATTGGACTCGGAGCACCTGGACCCTGCGCTCCGCAGGACACGGAGCGTTCTGACCTTGGCCTCTCTACAGGACTCCCCCGGCCTGCGGTCAGTGTGTGTGAAATACATTCTGCATCAACGCATGAATTCCTGTGGGGCCCATCCTCCTTGTCAGGCCGGACACACTTCCAGCAGCCCAGGGCCCTGGACAGTCCCCTTTGCCATCCCTTCCCTGGATCTTGAGAGTGAGAATAAAATAGCTCCTGGCTCCTGGTGGTGACAGTCACTGGTGTAGAAAAGAAAACCCGTCAGCTCAGGGTGCAAGCAGGCCCCACCCCACCCCCAGGAGAGCCAAGCCCAGATCCTTCCTCAGTGGTGACGACTGCTGTACAACACCCACCCGATTGTTGGCTCCTTCTTTGGAAGGGTGTTGGGCTGAGTGCCCACAGGGCCAGGCCCGACTCTGTGAGACACAGGGGGCCGCTCCTCAGCCCCAGCCGACCACTGCCGGAGGCCGCGCGTGCCCAGGATCGCCTGATCCCCTGACGCTTCAGAAGAAGCCAGAGATCTGGGTTATCACGTGAAACATCCTGGTTTGCAAAAGCTCCGTAACTATTGGATTTATGTCCCACACATTGCAGAGTGAGCAGCAGGTCACAGTCACAGGGAGAAGATCGCGGTCAGGCCTGTGTACAGCGCGTCTCCCACCCACAGGTTCCAGGGCCCTGGGTTAAGTCCCTCTGTGCCCCTCCGTGCTCTGGTCGGTACCTTGGGCTGGCACATAACAGCTGCTCAGTAAACACCTGCTGACTGGGCGGATGAGAGCTTGCTGTGAGCCGATGTTGTCCTGGGCCCTGGGGACTCCTGGCATGAACACGGGAAAGAGGCGCAGACAGGACCAAAGACCGTGGGGACAGACTGATGGAGGCCTGTGCCCGTTACAGAGCAGAGCTCCAAGGACACTGGGATCTGTGCCGTGGTGGACAGACCTGGATCTCGAGGGGATCCTTGAGATTCGTCTTGCAGAATAAGTCGCCTCCAGCAACACTCGTGTGTGATCTTACGGTCCCGGGGACGAGGAGCCTGGGATGGCTGAGCCAGGTCTTGGGGTCCGGCATCTCTCACAGGACAGTCCCTGGGGCTGGGGTCTCCCCCAAGGGTGGAGCAGGGAGGGCCCCACCTCCGTCCTCGGGGTGTCTGCAGGATTCCCTTCCTTACAGGCTGTTGGCCAGAGGCCACCTGCACAGCCAGGTGCTTCACCCAGGACGGTAGAGAGGGCCTCCTAGGCAGACAGGGTGACCGTCTTACAGACGCGTCACGTGATGATGTCCCAGAGCCTCTGACATGTTCTTTGGGTTAAAAGCAGGTCCGGGCCCTACCCACCCTCGAAGAGATGGAGACGGGGACCATGAAGGGCTGTCTTGTCGTGGGTCCCCCGTGTCACCTGGGCACAGGAGGACAGAGGGCGCGCCAGGGAGGGGGCTCCCCAGGCTACACTCGGGGGTGGGTGGCGCATCCAGTAGGCAAAACGCAACTGGTTCCCGGAGACAGAGCAGGAGGTGGGAGGAGGAGGGGCTGAACCTGCAGGAGCCACGTCCTCTCCCGAGCGTCGGGTCATCGGGTGGGGTGGGAACGGCCCCTGCTCCATCTGCACCGGGGGTCTGCAGGGGCGAGACCCCGGGAATTGCCGACGAATCACTCAGACGCCACAGGAGACTTCTAGAACCTTCTCTCTTGAGTAGCACTACCAGGGGCGATCCAAAGCCACTGGTGGGAGACCTTTCCGTCTCGTCTTTCCGACGAGTGCGAGGTGCTGCTGGATGGCAGGTCTCGAGTCAGAGCAAGGCCCCCGCCAAGGAGGAGCTGCGTAGGATCTGGCGTGGAGAGACCAGGACCCAGGAGCACAGGTGGGGGAGGTAGAGCGTGGGACCCCCGTGGGGGTGGATCCGGCAGGTCCTCGGGAAGATTAAGAGTGGGATCCACATGGATGAACAGGTCCACTGTGGGTGCATACAAGAAAGCAGGACTCACAAGGTCTTTCTGCAGCAGCATCGTTCATGTGAGCCGAGAGGAGGCACTGAGGGTCCCCAGGCTGGGGGACCCACCACATGTGGTCCATCCACACATGGTGCATTATTCAGCCTTTAAAAGGAGGAAACCTGGCTGGGCACCGTGGTGCATGCCTGTCATCCCAGCAGCTCAGGAGGCTGAGGCAGGAGGCTCACGAGTTCAAAGCCAGCCTCAGCCACAGCGAGGCCCTAAGCAACTCAGTGAGACCCTGTCTCTAAATAAAACACAGAATAGGGCTGGGAAGGGGCTCAGTGGTGAGTGTCCCTGAGTTCAATCCCCAGGACCCCCCAAGAAAAGATGAAAACTCTGACATGGGCTACGGCAAGGATGAACCTGAGGACATGATGCTCAGAGAAGTAAGCCAGTCCCCAAAAGACAACTGCGTGTGACACCTTGTCCCTGAGGTCCCTGAGGCCATCAAGTTCCTAGAGAAGAAAGCAGAAGAGAGGAGCCAGGGCTGGGAGGGGAGATGGGAGTCGCCTAATGCAGAGCTCCAGGTGTGCAAGACGAAGCTCTGGAGATGGCTCATGCATCACTGAGAATGTCCCCAACACTCACTGGCCAAGACGGTGACTCTCATGCTGGGGGAGATTTTACTGTAACTTAAACATCCTGTAGTCCTAGGCATGGGGCGGGTTTGCTGGTCGTCCGTCCACCTAGGGGCGAAGAAGGAGTGCGTCCCCTGCTGGGCCTGGGTGGGTGACACCTGCAGGCTCAACTCTCTGGCCACCCCGGACCTCGTGTCTGCAGCTGGAGAGAACAGACACAGGTGCTAGCGGGAGCTTATTCGCTGAGGCCATGATGGAACTCCTACTGTATCCCAGGCCTTGAGCTTCCAACACAGTGTGACAAACTCATATCCAGTAAGGGAAGCAGACACTTCCTTGAATAATCAACAGCATAATCAATGATCGATACCATGATCAATAATCAATACCATAATCAATCATTAATACCATAGACTGGGTGGAGGGAGGAAGGAAAGATCCATGACTCGGGAGGCATCCAAGAAGGTTTCCTAGAGGAGGAGCAATGAGGACGAGTATTGAAAGACAAGACCTGGATGCTCTAGGTGGGTGGGTCAGGTGTCAGAGGAGAAGCAAGATGATCCCTTCATTACCCACCACTGCCACCTGTTGCTTACTGAATGGCTAACATTCCAAGAACATCCTGAGCACTTTACATCTCATTTAATCCTCCAAACCCCTGTGAGATAGGTACTATTATTCCCAGCTGTGCTGATAAGGAAACCTAGGATCAGAGAGGTTATGCCATTTGCCGCAGGTCACACAGCTAATAAGCAAAAGAACCAGAGTTCAACCCAGACTCACAACCCCGTGCCCAGGCTCAGTTTGTTCCCGGAGGTGGGAGAGAGCAAAGCCTGAGGAACGGGTGACTGGTCGACGTGAGGTGGACTGGAGAGGGCCTGCCGCCAGGTGACAGCTGGGTCCCGTGGGCTCGGGGTCGGTGTCACCACCTTTGTTTTGCACCATCTCATCAGAGCCCCCCGGGGCTTGCGTTTCAGCGGAGGAGTCCCTGGCGTGTGACAACCCAGGCTTGCCTGAAAATGGATACCAGATCCTGTACAAGCGACTCTACCTGCCCGGCGAGTCCCTCACCTTCATGTGCTACGAAGGCTTTGAGCTCATGGGCGAAGTGACCATCCGGTGCATCCTGGGACAGCCATCCCACTGGAACGGGCCCCTGCCTGTCTGTAAAGGTAAAGAAGAGTCCTGGGGCCCCTGAAGCTGCTCTGAAGGGGCGGGCGGCTGTCCCTGGTGAAATCTAGCAGGCCACCTGTTTTCATCCGTTTTCTGTTGCTCTAACAAGAGGCCTGAGGCAGGGAACCTTATTAAGAATAGAAGTCTATTATTCAGCTCGTGGTTCTGACACTGGGAAGTCCGTGAGCTTGGTACCACATCTGCTCAGCATCTGGCCAGGGCATCCCGTGGTGAGTCAGGGATGTGTGCCAGCTCCGGTCTCTCCTCCTCTTCCCACGAAGCCACAATGCCACAGGGAGGGCCACCCTCTTGGCCTCAACTAACCTAATCATCTCCAAAGCCCACCCCCAAATACACCAGGAGACAGGTATGAGGACTGGCTTTTAAGCGCGTGACCTGCTGGGGACACACCCAAGTCAGTGCGCTGGCCAGTGACCAGTCAGCTTTTCCGCTGGTCTTGGGGCCACCGTGGAATGAGAACTCTGGCCCACCCCTCCTCAGGAGGTCCCAGGATCGGGTGGGACGTGCCTGTCGCCAAGCCCGCGGCCTCCGCTGGCCTGCCGGCCCCTACCACTGCAGCCTTGAACCCTGAAGCCCCTCACCTCTGGGGAGTTGCACCCTGGGAAGAAGCACCCATCCTGGATGGAAAATTGGGGGGCTCAGCTGCCACGTTCCTTTAGGCCAGGGCCGTCTCCGTCTCCTGGGCCGCCAGGTGCTCTAGGAATAAAGTGGCTGGAAGTAGTCTCCATGGCGGGCCAAGCTTCGTCCCTACACGCGGGATGAAAAGGAGATGGGCTGGGCTGACTCAGATGAGCATGCCAAGCAGGGAAACGGCCGCTGGATGTCACCTAAGGGCCTCGAGGCTCACCATGTCTCATGAAAGCCATGCAAGAGCCCTCACCATGTAGTTGAGAGCACAGGGAAGAGACAGCCCAGCAGTCCAGGTTGAAATCACACCACCATCTCTTAGACGCTGTGTGACGTCAGAGAAATCACTGCACATCTCTGAAACTCGACTCTCGTGTAAGATGGTGGTGTAACAGTTATCTACCTAGTGGGGCCGCCGTAAGGGTTGACTTAGGCACCGTGTGGACAGCTCTTGGCACAATACCAGACACAGGGTGAGGAGTAATTGTTCATTATCACTCTTATTGGGCTAATGTCTTTACTCTGTCTCGTCTTCCCTTGGAAATTAAGGAAGTGCTCCCCTGCGTACAGAAGCCCAAGATAAATGAGAGCACACGTTCATGTCTGATTTTTTTTGGTTTCCTTTTATGCAATCAGAGCCAATCTGCTTGACGTTGACTGATGCCTCCCAATTTCTCTTGCAGTTAATCAAGACAGTTTTGAACACGCTTTAGAAGGTGAGTTCAATTCCAGTACGAGAGAAAAAAAAAAAACACTCAATACATCAAGCTAATAGCAGAAAACCGGGGCAGGTCCGCGAATATCTCTATCCAGATACTTACAAACATAATAACTAATTCCGCCTTCACACTAACAAAGGTGATTCCGAAACAGGAACGGCCGGGGGCAGTGGGGCCCACCTGTCATCCCAGCAGCTCAGGAGGCTGAGGCCAGAGGATCTCGAGTTCAAAGCCAGCCTCAGCAACAGGGAGGCCCTAAGCAACTCCAACCCTGTCTCTAAATAAAATATTTTAAGAAACTGCTGGTGGCTTAAGCACCCCTGGGTTCAATCCCCAGTACCAAAAAAAAAAAAATAGAAAGAATGTATAAAGAAAAGCAAGTCATTAGAATTGCAACTTATCCTGAATACAACCTGGAGGGAATTGATACCAGTTCTCTACGTGACAATAACAAGGCAAAAATATTAAATTAAATTCAATACTGGGCGTCCCCAGCCCTAAGCCCCCGTTGTGACCTTTCAGCCCCGTTCCCTGCTGAGCCAAGCACCCCCTGCCCTCTGCAGGGAGGGGGAGCTCAGGACAGTCCCAGGGTCTGTTCTCCCTTTCTTTCCGTCTCTTCCCCGACATTCCCCCGCCTCCCTGTCCTTTCATTACAAATCCCCAAGTGAGTTTTATTAAAGTGGAGCAGATGTTGAAAACCGTGCAGGGTGCTGGGCTCTTTTCCGTTGCGGTCCCTCTCTTTGCTCTGCCTCTGTTCAAGTGGGTACAAACACCTCCCACTCCAGCCCTAGGAAAACCTCTATTGTCGCATTTCTGTAGATGTCTCCACCAATTACGCGGCTGCTGCTGTTCTTTCTGGAGCCACCGTTTGCTCTGGGACAATAATGAGGTCACGTAGCGTCTGGGGCTCTGCGGATGCTGTGTCATGAGCTGCTGTTCCTTGCAACAGACCCCATTCTAATCCCAGCAGGCAGAGCCAGGGTTCCACCATAAGTGACGGGAGGAGGGTGTGTGGGGCCCTCCACCTGGAAAATAAGGGGCACATCTCGCTGTTATTCTCCAGCGGGGCTCCAGGCCTGCCTTTTGCCAGCCAGCGAACCGTGACAGTCCCCCCGGGGGCTCTCAGACACCGTGAGCACCTTGTAACGCTCTGTGCTCGCGCATTTATTGTTGTATTAGGATTGATTTTTTCAGACCCTGTAAAGTGGCAGTTAATGGGTTATAGATTGGAGGACAGCTCGGCTCTGCTGGACGTGACCGTGCAGCAGGCGGAGAGGCCCTGCAGCCTAGGCTCTCAAGCCACCTGGGTCCCCCGTCAAGCCGTGCTGGGAAATGCCCCAGAGAGCTGCCCTAGTCCTTGCCATGGCCACCACCCTGGCTGTGGGAGCCCCCAGGTGACACGGAGAGGGTGGCCCAGGAATGGGCAGCGGAGGTTCTGGAGGAAGCCCAGGGGTCTTCTCAGTCGGGGTGTCCTCCACCTGCAGCCTGACAGCTCCCCAGCAGCTCCCACCCTCCCCTGGGCTGAAATGTCCCTGAGTGGTGCTGGCACGGACCCCAGCTGGGGGTGACGAGGTCCCAGGCTGGCTCCAGGGTTGAAAGTTCCTGTTAGAGACCTCGTGGCTGACCCTGGGCCCGGGCAACTGTCTGAGGCTCAGTTTGGTTTGGGTTTTGGTTTTTTTTGTCACATGAGGTTGAACCCAGGGTCACAGCCCAGCCCCTCTTTTCTCTCCTCTGCACCCCATGGACTGTCCAGGGAACCTGCCCTCCTGGTCACCACCTTTGGGGTTTTCTCCACTTCTCTGATTTCCCTTGCGTTGGATTCTAGCCCAAGTGTACCCACATCCAGCCCCCAGATGGCACAGAGATGATCGGGATCCCAGCTGCCATTCTGGTGGCCCTTCTGGCCATGCCACCGCAGAACGAGTCTGGGCTCCGGGGCCCCTGGTGTCTGCCTCTGCCCTCCGGGGTCTGGGGCTCTGGGGCGTCAGCCTCTTGGGGACCGCAGCACCGGGAGGGCGGGGTCGCCCCCGAGAGCGGGCACCCGGGGTGGGGGGCGTGAGACGGGCCTCAGTGGCTTCCTTGTTCAGTAGCAGAAGCGGCAGCAGAGTCGTCGCTGGAAGGCGGGAACGTGGCCCTGGCCATCTTCATCCCGGTCCTCCTCATCTCCTTGCTGCTGGGCGGAGCCTACATTTACGTCACCAGGTAGGAGGGGGAGGGGCGGCGCTCCGCATCCCACCTGCCGCTCCGGGGCAGAGGCACCCGCGGGGGCCTCCTGGGCACCTGCCCAGCCTCCGGGTGGGCAGCAAAGGGGACAGACACCATCCCTGACCCCAGAGAACTTAGGGACTTAGGGGACGCGGACAGTACACACCGCGGTGCACTGACTCACCCATCCCACCATCCACTCGCTCGCTCGCTTATGCAGCAATAACACGGTGGCCATCAGATCGGGACCAGCCATTGTCCCTGGTGCTGGTGGCCGCTAGCCTGCACTTGGTGGAGAGGGAAGATACTCCCCCGCGCGGTCCAATCACCAAGTTTCCAGAGTCCCAGCCGGGGCGCGCCCACTCTGTGCCAGGCAGCCTCTGGGCGGCACAAAGCCCAGTCTTTGCCTTCTGGGATCAGGGTCCTCGGCGGGGCAACGGGGACAGCAGGCGGAGCACATCAGAGAAGCATGCAGTGCGTCGGGACAGAAGAGGAACTTGGAAGGGAGAAAAGGGCTCTGGGGTCCAGATGGTTTTTAAGGAGTAGGCAGCAGAGGCCCCACTGAGAGGGCATTTGACCAAGAATTTGAGGGTGTGATCATGAGCAAACCAGCCGGTCTGTGGGAGGGGAGGATGCAGGCAGAGAAGGCGCACGTACAAAGGCCCCGAGGCAGCCAGCGGCTAAGGTGCACCGTGCCCACCCAAGCGGAGCTCAAGTGCGGGGGAGGGGAGACTGCAGACCAATAAATGACAGCTAAGGTGAGCCACCTGCGAGAGGCGGTTTCCACACACCCCTTGTCAGTCCCGGAGGGTTGCCAGCTGTTCTGTGTCTGGGTCTCCGCGGGAGAGAAGTAACCGCCGTCCCCTCCTCCGCAGGTGCCGCTATTACTCGAGCCTCCGCCTGCCCCTCATGTACTCCCACCCCTACAGCCAGATCACCGTGGAGACCGAGTTTGACAACCCCATTTATGAGACCGGGGTGAGTTGCTCGTCCTTCCTGCCTCCTGTCCCCGCACCTGCAGCTGGCAGAGGCACATCCAGTGGCCTTGTCCCGCTCCTGCCAAGTCCCCTGCTGAGCTGACCAGCTCTGTCTGCAAGTGACCAGAGCCAAAGAGAGCCTGAAGGCCTGGGGAGGGGGGACAGGCATGGGGGGAAGGGCTCTCCACAGAGCAGCTCACAGCAGGAGTGTCCCTCCTCCCAAGACAGAAGTCACAGTCCTGCCCAATGTAAGCACAGGAGGGACGTCCTTGTGCTAGAGTCATGTCACAGGCCCACTCACCCGGCAGAGAAGGGGACCACACAGGGACATGAACACCAGGAGGTGGGCACAGCGGGGGCCACCTTAGATCCGGACCGAAGTGTAGATGTGGTTGTTCATTAGTGTGGGCCCAGCAGGAACCAGAGACTTCCACCAACATGGTGACCACTGCCAAGCAGAGCCTGTGACTTCTAGCCTTCCCTGCTCCTCACCGGGGCCTAGGATACGCTCCACACGCTCCGTGAACACTGGAGAGATTGACTTGGTTGCTACCCCAGGTGCAGCCATACCAGATGGGGACATCCCCATCCCACCAGGAAGGGGCAGAGGCTGCTTTGGACTCTCTGCATCTTCTTCCAGATCCCAGAGAAAGGCCAGGCCCGTGCAAGTGGCACTTTAGTTGTTTGGTTTTTAGGTGTTAATGATTTTCTTATTTGCTCTTGTTGGTTACACATGACAGTAGAGTATGTTATGACACATCAGACAGACATGGAGTGTGGCTTCCTGTTCTTGTGGCCGTGCACGAGGTGGTTTCACTGATCATGAGTTTACATATGAACACAGGAAAGTTCTGTCCAGTCCACCCCACTGTCTTTCCCATTCCCATCGCCCTCCCTTCCCTTCCTTCCCTTTGTCTAATCCAATGAACTGGGTTCTCCACCCCCCCTTATTGTGTGTTAGCATCAACATATCAGAGAGAACATTCAGCCTTTGGTTGTGGGGGGACTGGCTTATTTCACTTAGCATGATATTCTTCAGTTCCCTCCATTTACCAGCAAATGCCATAATTTCATTCTTCTTTAAGGCTGAGTAATATTCCATTGTATATATGTACCACAGTTTCTTTATCCATTCTTCTGGATATAGCTTGGCTATGGTGAATTGAGGTGCTGCAAACATCGATGTGGCTGTGTCACTGTAGCATGCTGAATTTTAACCCTTTTGGATATACACCAAGGAGTGGGATAAATGGGTCAAATGGTGGCTCCATTACACACTTTCTGAGGACTCTCCATACTTGTTTCCAGAGTGGTTGCACCAATTTGCAGTCCCACCAGCAATCAGGATGTACCTTTTCCTCCCACATCTTCCCCAACATTCCTGCTGGAGTGAGATGAAATCTCAGTGGAGTTTTAATTTGCATTTCTCTAATTGCTAGAGATGATGAACTTTTTTTCATATGTTTGTGGATCAGTTTTATTTCTTCTTCTGTGAGGTGCCTGTTCAGTTCCTTGGCCCTTTTCTGGATTGGGTTATTTGGTTTGGGGTGTGAAGTTTTTGAGGCCTTTGTACACCCTGGAGATTAGTGCTCCGTCTGAGGTGCAGAGGGCAAAGCTGGAGGCTCTCTCTGCACCTTCCTGATTGTTTCCTCTGCTGTGAAGAAGCTTTTGAGACTGACACCATCCTGGACATGGTGTTATACAGACTGGATCACTCATATGGATGAGCAGGGTGTATCACTGACCTGTAGAGCCAACAGGATACTCAGCGGAAAACAATCCCCAACTCGGTAGCTCAAAGCCACAAACATGGATTTGCTCAGCAGGGTTTTAGGCTGCTCTCAGCTGGCTGGCGATCTTAGGATGGGCTGGTTGCCATCTGGGGGGCTCATTCTGCTGCCCATGTCCTTTATCAGCCAGTGGGGTCCAGAGGCTTCCGGGGCATGCCCTGTCCACGGTAAGGGCAGAGGAAGAGACACGAGCAGACACACACAGCACAGTCCGCGCACCTGCTGTGGGCCGTTTGCTAATGATCCATCCCAAGAAGCAAGTAGGGGTCACAAGGTCAAGGGCACGGACACAGGAACTCCTAAGAACTGGCACCATCGAGGCCTCACTCTCCCACCCAGGGCTTCTCAAACCTGTGCTGGTCTCTCCCTCTCTTGCAGGAGACCAGAGAGTACGAGGTTTCTATCTGAAGGAGCCGCACCTGAGAAGGGAGCCTGCGGACGTCGCTTCAGTCACGACCCCGGGGGACCCCCATCCAGAGACCACATGGCATTTGATGGAAGCCCTTCCCCCCCGCGCCCGCTGTCTTTTCCTTAGACTCTTCATTGGAGATTTACTGTTTTCTTCACTGTATTTATTATATTTAAAATTGAAATAGGTGTGGTTCCAGGTATCGCAGCTGCAGCCGGGTTCAAGTGACCGCCTCGATCCTGAAGGCCGCTGGGAGGTTTGCAGAGCGGCCAAGGGCAGCAGAAGAAGGAAAAGCACCAACCCCGCCCCCCCCAACAAAAACACCCGCTACGGCTGCATCGGACTGCATGCGTCTCGGACACCCACGCCCACGGAGGTGGGCTCCAAACCCAAGTCCCAAGATCAGTCCAAAAAGGGTCTTTCTCGTTGGGTTACCTCGCCTTGGACTTTAGCACAGGGCTGACACCCATTCTGGTTTGCTCGTCTTTTCCAATCTGACCAGCTTCTAATGCTCTTGCCCTCATCTCCTCCTTCCCACGGGCCTTGAGAAGGCAGCAAAGATGTCCCCTAAGCCAGGCACAGTGGCCCACGCCTGCCATCCCAACAGCTCAGGGAAGGCTAAGGCAGGAGGATCGTGAGTTCAAAGCCAGCCTCAGCCACAGCGAGGCCCTAAGCAACTCAGTGAGACCCTGTCGCTAAATAAAATGCAAAATAGGGCTGGGGTGGGGCTCAGTGGTCCAAGACCCTGAGTTCAATCCCTGGCACCAAAAAAAATAAAATAAAGATGTCACCTAAGTATCCTCTTGTGCCACCCTGGCCTTACTGGGCACCGGCAAAATAAGAAAATGTTTTCTTTCTAGAAAGGTGATAAATGACGGAGGAAAATTTTCAGAGAAGACATGAGATTTGAGAGTCCCAATGAAACATTGGGTGAGGGGAAGATTGAGCGAGGGAATTGAGTTAATAAAATGTCCTTTCCTTTGACACTCCTTCAATGATAAAAGAGCAGGTCATTTACACTGCAAGTGCCAGAATCGATCACCTTGTTTGGCAGGGCCAGTCTCAGGCTGTGATAATAAATCCACGGGCTCAGAAGGACGGCAGAGTCTGCATGGGGGGGAGGAGGCAGCCTGCTGGAAATCCAGGGGAGCTGCTTCTGTTGTGGGGGTGCTGCAGCGTCTCGGCCTTTGAAACGGGAGAGGGCGGACTGCATAGCTCTGCGAAGGACAGAAGGACGCTACCTTGAGGACGCGCTGGCTCTTAAGTATCTCCGCAGGGTGGAGGGGCCTGGGAGCGTGGGAACAGGGGCCAGGGCTAAGTGCGCAGTGGGAAGGACGACTTCTGGCCAGACCCATCTGGACGTCCAGGAGGACGGGAGGAGGACGTTCAGGTCGTGCCACTGAGTCGAATCCCGTCTTTGTGCTGCAGCCCGGAAGGAACCACCCAGAAGCAGCCAGCGGTGATCATGTGACTCCGACAGGCAGCACACGGGCTCGGTGGCTTTGACGCCCTCCCACGCTCTCTTAAATCTGCTGGTTTTCAAACAAGGAAAGAAAAAGTCCTTCCCGGCTGCCGTGCCCCACAGAGAACAGCTGGGAGTCCATCTTTGGACAGTTGCTTTGGAGACGTCCAGAGGGGGACGGGGAGCCGGGTCTGAGCGGGCAGGTCCTCCCCCAGCAGGAGCCCAGACCTTCATCCAGGGGGACACGGTGGGGGTCGGAGGTGGCAAGGTTTTCCTTCTGCCAGAAGAGAATCCTGCGTGGGTGCTCCCCACAGTGGACGCCCGCGAGAGACCACAGCCCCTGCCCAAGCCCAGGGCCCACCCTGGCTACGAAAGACCCCCCAGGAGACCATCCAGACTTGTAGTGAGCAGTGTCCCCTTTGGAGAAAGACAGCAATACAGCTAATGTCCCCTTTTTAAAGAGGCAGAGTCCAATCCTTGCTCGTCTTGCAATCTGATGCTTATTCTAACCTGAGCCCCGGGACCCGGCAGTGAAGAACGGGCTGATGGACTTCAGAACAGACCACGGCTGGGCCAGAGCTGGACATCCGCCTTCTGTAAAGATGGACTACCTATAAACCTCTAGGCTGCTTCTGCCCCTGGAGCAGGCAGGTCTCCTCTTGGCTACTGGAGGGTAGAGAAGACGCTGACCCTTTCTGTCCAGAAGGCCAGTGTCTTTGCCCTGGGTTCGTTCAGTATCCGTCACCAGGTCCCCAGTTCCTCTTAGCCCAGAGGCAGGACCTGTGAGCTCCACCATGTCCAGCACGACCAAAAAGACAGGTTGGTGTCTTCTTTTTTCTCTTTTGGAAACATCTGGATGTGTACCTGTCCTGTGGGGAGGGAAGACGTCACTCACAGTGCCAAATGCGCACCAGATGGCTCATTCACCGTTCGCCTACGTCTGTTTTTATAAGATCAAAATTAAAAACCCATTGGGATTAAATACTTTTGACCAGGATACACTCTTGGGAAACTTGAGGACCCACTGAGGCTTCTTCCCAGTGGGGCCACACGTTGACAGAACCCGCCAGCTTCTGCGGATGCATGTGGTGGCATCGATGACCAGCTGATCCGTGCAGGCCGTCCCTGTCTCTAGCCGCTAACACCCTGTGCTTTCAAATGCCCACCCTCCGCCCTCTGCAGCTTAGAGCAGACCTTTCCTGGTGTTGGGTTTTGGTTTTTTGATAGGATTATTGAACCGACACAAGCATCCCGACGAGCCTCAGTCTTTCCTTAATGCCATGATGCGTTTCAACTGGGATCCTTTGAAGTCAGCTCCTTGGAGAGCTTACAGAACGTCAGGCCCATCGCTTTAAAGACTGCCAAGCAGCCCAAAAGGGAGAGCAGTGGCGATGTTTTCGGGAGGGTGATAAAAGGGGGGCACTTTGGGAGGGGGATTGGGTAGCTTTAGGCAGAGACAGGAGCCTTGGGCTCAGACGGCCTTTCCATAGGGGGCAGAGTCAAAGGGCATGACCTTCCTATGTCCTTGACGAGACATGGGGTCACTTGAGGTCAGCTGTTGAGAGTGTTTGGGACCCTCAGAGGTGGGCTTTCTCCTGGGAGATTTTCATTTTCATTTTATCATCAAACAGAATAAAAAATCGAAACCGACTTTGTAAGCTAGAATAATGAGATGAAGTCATTTTCCACTTTGTATATATTGATGCTAATAAAACAAGTGAAAAAGAACAAGATCTGTGGGATTTTTGTACCAAAGCCCCGGGAAGGCACAACTGGGGGATATTTCCAGTTTCTGGGGATCGAGGTGACGTAACACCTGCTGGTGTTTTTAAGGCCAGGACAGGACTGTCCCACTCTGGAATGGTCCTGGGATCACTAAAGGAATGTTTGGAGCAAGACAGTTCTCAGGGGTCTCCCAGCATCAAACATGCAACCCTCACCCCCACACCCCCAGGCTCAGGCTGTCCTAACTAAAGATCTAGGGTTGCTCCAACAGATTTGTGTTCAAAGTTCTAGAGGCTTAGAAGTCCACGCTCAGCCTGCCGGACAGTTCAGCTCCTGGAGGGGCTCTTCAGGCTTGTAGATGGCGGTCCCGCAGGGCCTCGGCTCAGCAGAAGGGAAACAGAAAGAGAACGTAAAAGCTCCCTCTCTTCAAGGGCCACAGTCAGCCAGCACGGTGGCCCACGCCTGCCATCCTGGCCGCTCCGGAGGCTGAGGCAGGAGGATCACGAGTTCAAAGCCAGCTTCAACAACAGTGAGGCCCTAAGCAACTCAGTGGGACCCTGTCTCTAAATAAAACACAAAAGAGGGCTGGGATGGGGCTCAGTGGTGGAGGGCCCCTGAGTTCAATCCCCGGTACCACCCCCCAAAAAGGCCACAGTCATATCAGATTAGGGTCCCACCCTCTGAGCCTCTTGAACCTTAATTACCTACCAAGGACCCACAGTCCCCACGGAGGCTAGGCTTTCAACATGCAGATTTTGAAGAGACACAATTCGATCCATTGCGTTCTGTCCCTGGCCCTACCAACAATCCATGCCATTCTCGAACGCAAAATACACTTGTTCCACCCCCAAGAGTCCCAAAGAATGAACCCATCCCCACATCCACTCTGAAGTCCGACACCCAAAGTCTCACCTCATCGTCACTGAAATCGGTGGGTAAGGCTGTAGGTGTGACTCTTCCCAAGGCAAAGTCTCTCCTGTCTGTGAACCTGAGACCTGTGAACCGCCATCTGTGAAACTCACCTGTTACCTTCACGAGCTTCCAAAACACAACGGTGCCCCAGGCAGAGGTCAGGGGTTCCCACTCCAGGGCAGAACCCGGAAAGAAGGGGACAAGGTCCTCAAGCACAGACAAATGAGCTCACGAGCCACAGGAACAGCCCTTCAGATTCCTTGTGCTGTCCCACCTGCCCTCCCTGAGCCTGGCCGACTGGAGATGCATCCCCGCTCCTGGGAACAGAAGAGGAAGCAGCCTTGGTGGGGACAGCCCTGATGGACTCCCAGTCTCCTCTGAGATCAGTCTTCCCCTTCCTTAAAGAACAGCACACGTTGGAGAGGTCTGTGGTCCGGGGAGTCCGGGAAGTCTGGACAGCCCTCCTCCCCTCCGTCCTGTCTAGAGATGCTGTGATCACATCTCTGCTCCTGCATCTGCTAAGAAGGCCGCAGAAGTCCTCGAAGAACCCGCGATCTCGCTACCACAAGGTGGTTCAGGCACGGCCCTATGAAACAATGTTCCTCTTTCCGGGGGTGGGAGGTACCGGGGACTGAACTCAGGGGCCCTCGACCACTGAGCCCCATCCCCAGCCCTATTCTGTGTTTTATTTAGAGACAGGGTCTCACTGAGCTGCTTAGGGCCTCACCCTTGCTGAGGCTGGCTTTGAACTCAAGATCCTCCTGCCTCAGCCTCCAGAGCTGCTGGGATGACAGGTGTGAGCCACTGCGTTGGACTCATTTTTTTTTTCAATGTGGAAAGGCTGTGAATTCCCCAAATCTTCAGGTTCTACTCCTTTTCCCTTAACAATTCCTTCTTCGGTCCACCTCTCTCCTTTCACGTTGGACCCCACAGGCAGCAGGGATCTAGCCACTCCAACTTTTGGCTTAGAAATCTCCCCAGCAGAATGTCCACCTTCACCACCCTCGAGTTCTACCTTCCAAAGGCACTAGGAGAAAGTTCCGCTGAGTTCCTTCCCACTTATGATTAGGACTCCTTTCCTCCAGTATCCGAGGCGTATCCCTCGTTTCTGAGAGCTCCTCAGGATGGCCTTCAGCCTTCAGGTTCACGGCCAGGGAAGATGAATGGACCTCTCAGAGCCCTTCCAGCCGTCAGACATGACCCCGTTCCAAAGCCACTTCCACATGGCTGGGCACTTGCCACAGCAGCACCAACCCCATCTCTCAGTTCCAATGTTGGTCAGATTTCTCCCGAGGAACAGAACCAAAAATGTGTGTGTGTGTGTGTGTGTGTGTGTGTGAGTGTATGTATGTACGCACTCCTGAACCAATCCCCCGTCATAAACTTGTAGGGGTGTAGGTAGGGGTGTGTCTGAGGCACCACACAGGGTCACCCTCGCAGCTGGAACACACCAGGATTGAACTCAAGGAATAGGAGCCGGGTGCCATGGCCCACGCCTGTCATCCCAGCAGTTTGGGAGGCTGAGGCAGGAGGATTGCGGATTCAAAGCAGCCTCAGCAAAGGCGAGGCCCTCAGCAGCTCAGTGAGACCCTGCCTCTAAATAAAATGCAAACTAGGGCTGGGGTGGGGCTCAGTGGGCCGAGTGTCCCTGAGTTCAATCCCCGGTACAAAAATAAAATAAGATAAGGAGTTGGATCATGTAATCATGGAGGCTGAAGAGTCCCAAGATTTGCTGCCGCGTCCGGCCAAGGGAGCCGAGTCCGGCGAGGGACGGCGAGGTTAAAAGACACACAGGACACCAAGGTTCTTCATCCAGGAGTCAATAATCTTTATTGCTAACACACCTTTTTTTATACCCCAAGCAGCAGAAGTGGAAAACTACCCAAAAGCAGGAGGGAGGGGGGAGAAATTTAGTTTCAACATCTATTATTGTCAGGTACCGAAACCTCCCTTAACAATAAGTCCATCAGACCAGAAAAGGTCAAGGCATTCCCGTGGGATACATATGTCTCAGACGGACAAGCAGGAACAGAAAAACCGCAAGTTCGCCATGGCCTTGTGAGCTGGCCACACTGGCATGCAGAACAAACTAGTGGAGGTAGGGCTCCAGGGGCCAAGGTGGACCTGTTGCCAACAATTTGCCCTTTGGCCTGCTGCAGAGCTGATCATGGCTCCAGGCCAAGTGCCCGGGCCTGAGACCCAGGAGAAGCCGTGGTGTGAGTCCCCGGCTGAAAGCTGGGTGGCTTGAGACTGGGGACACTGGGAACAGACAGTCCAGCTCCAGTTCAGAGGCCATAGAGGACCAAAGTCCTAGCTCAAAACAGCCTCGCGGGAGGCGCCCTCCCCCATGGGGGGTCAGGCTTCCCACTGTGCCTGGGCCTTCCGTGGACTGTAGGGCCACTCACGTCTGCTTTGCCCAACTCTGTCAGCCATGTTCACCTCATTAACACAAACACACACTCATACACACCCATAAACACACACACACCCATACACACACAGCCATACACACACCCACACACACAGCCATACACACACCCACACACACACAGTCATACACACAACACACCCACACAAACACACACCCATACACACACAGTCATACACACACACAGCCATACACACACACCCACACACACACCCATACACACACCCACACACACACAGTCATACACACACAACACACCCACACAAACACACACCCACACACACACAGCCATACACACACCCACACACACACAGTCATACACACACAGAGCCATATACATACACCCACACACACACACACACACCTATACACACATACCCATACACACACCTATACACACACCCATACATACACACATACCCCCACAACACACCCATACCCCCCCACACACCCCCATACCACCCATATACACACCCATACACACACACACTCACACACACACGCTGAGACTTTATGCAGAACGTCAGAGCCAACATCTGGGCATCCCGTGGCCCAAGCAAGTTCTCTAAAGTTGACCATCACACTTCTCAAAGCCCTGTCAACACAGGGGGACCCCTCTGAGGAGTGGGGAGCTGTGACCTCCATCCTGCAGTCTTGTGGTGACTGCGTTATTTCTCAGCGAGAGACCCCAGAACTCTTCACACGTCCTCAGGGGAAGACGTGTTTAACCTCCCCGACTTCCTAGGCTGTGATCCCCAAGGAACACTAGAAACTAGGACTCAAGGGCACGTGGGTCGTTGTCTAGGTGACTCCACAGCGTGGGAAAGTGGGACTGGAGGGGGGATGAGCCAAGGCTGAGGGCACTGTCTGGGGACTGGGGAGGGGCTCAGGGGCGGAGCTCACCCAGCGCGTGTGGGCACCGGGTTCTGCCATCAGCACTGAGGGAGGAGAAGGACAAGCGTCGGCCAAGAAGGGCCGTCTGAGGCCTGTGGGTTGCAGGCCCATCGGGAATTCTGCATCCCTCAGAGTGCTTCCTCCTGAGGGATGAGGGAGTCCGTGGCCACCACCAATTCCCAGTTGTTGTGATCAAGAGTTCCTGGGAGGCCTGACCCCTGGGCCCCTCCTGACCACTGCGGGTGGTATCTGCTGCAGGTAGAAACCATCCAAGTAGAGTGGTGCCTTCCCCCTAGTAACTGCCCTTGCCCAAGTCAGCCTCCCATCAGCTCATAGCAAACGGCTCACGTCCACCTTGTGAGGCTCATGGTGCCGTCCACACCTTGGAACTTGATCAAAGTCAGAAAAGAAAGCCTAGAAAACAGAACTGAAGGAAGGGGGGACAGAAACTTAAAAGACTAAAGACTGAAAATAGATCTCCATGAAGATAACACCTTCTCCTACTGAGGATAACACGCAGGTGCAAGCAGTATTTTCAAAAGAAGGCACAACTAGACCATTTCTTTTTTGAAAAGGTTTCTAAAGATTAGAAAATGTTCAGCTAATTAATATGTCTGAATCCAGTAGATTTCCTCTGTCACCCAGGGGATGCAGAAATATATTTCTGCATCAGCTCTTTTCTAGAACATTGGATGGTTCCTCAAATCTGGGTGACAAAATTCTGCTTGATTCTCCTTCAAGCTTAAATATATCACCTC